GAGAGAGAGAGAGAGAGAGAGAGAGAGAGAGAGAGAGAGAGAAGAGGACAGGAACCCCACCTACCTAGGCCTGAAAAATCAAGGCAGCCAGGGGATGTCCTTAGCCCTGCATCCCACACCCTCTTTGGAACACAGGGCCCACCAGGTCTGTGAAGTTATACTCCAGAATGTCAGGCTCAGACAGGCCCAAAGGTAGGCAAACACTGACCACTGATCACCACTCGACACACAATAGTTGCTCTCTTGTGCATACCACCTGTGCCCTGGTGTTAGAAACTAAACAGTGACACCCCACCCTCAAATACATTCAGGACTTAAACCCTCAGACTAGTGAATGTGACTTTACTGGGATACTCAAAACTGACAGCTACCCCCAAAGTCAGAGAGTCAGGGAATGGTTTCCTTCCTGGAGCTTTAGGAGAGCAGAGCTTTGTCACTTTGATTTTGGACATGGTACACCTGATGTCCAATGTAGCAGGATACAAGTCTCAGGAACACCAATGTTCCTGGTCAGAGCATTGGGGGCTTTTCACTCTCAGTGCCTGCTCTTGCCCACAGCTGCTTCTCCAGGTGATTACTGGCCAGAAGGAGCAAACAGCTGTGGGCAGCTATATAGGCTGAGAGTGGGGGTTACAAGGGAAGCTGGGAAAGGTAGCGGGAAGGTCACAAGCCTCCTTGGGACTTTAGGAAAACACTTGCTTGATTGTGGAGTGTATTCATTGCCCATAGGCCATGCGACACACTGTAAGGGGACCTTGCACACCACACACAGGGGTGGGGAGGACCTGAACCCCGAGTCCAGCACTCACCGACTGGGAGCTGTCTCTGCTGCTGTCCCGAGACTTATTCTTGGCCAGCCGCTTTTTCTTCTTGTGCAGAGGCCTCGACTCCAGGATCATCTCTTCCAGCTCAAAGGTGGGATCACAGTGCAGGCGGCCTTTCTGTGGAGAGACAGGGTACTGAGCCCAGCCTGCAGGTCCCCACCACCACCACCCCGACAGCCTGGAGTCATCTGTCTGGGCACACGGGGCTTACATTGGGCACAAAGCCTGGCTCCACCTTCTTTTCACTCAGGTCATCCCACAGCACATGGGCCAGCGATGGGGCTGTCTGCATGTCTTGGAGACTGGAGAACCGGTGCTCAGGGTTCACGGTGAGGAGCTGCAAGGAGGCCCCCTCTCAGATAAAGCCCCACAGAAGAATGACCACCTGTCCCAGATTGAAGCAACCCTTGCAGGTGCCCACAGGATGAGGCTTGGGACCTCGGGATCTAAAGTGGCTTGTGAGGAAAGGTGGCATCAAGGGATATGGCCCTAGGAACTCTTTGATCCCAGTGCCCCATATCCAAGAACAACAGAGCTTTAGGCATGTCCTGCCAAGATTTGCCAGCAGGTGGCAGTGATAGCCTGGCTAACGTTCTCCCACAATAGCATGTAGGCCCAACTAACTACCGCAAAGCCTCTTCTGTTACCATGGAGAACCTCCAAGCTCCAGAAACATTTGTACCCATACTGGATCAGGACATCAGGCCACCAGGGCCAGGTGCCTCCTGGTCAGGTCTTGTGTATAATAACCCTTTCTTCACACCTGTCCTGGCTATAGGCTCTGCTCTCTAGATCCACCCTTTCCAATATTTCAATCAACATATTTAGAGAACAGCTCTTTGTGTGATAAACAGCCCCTAGTCCAGTCCCTGAACACACAGTGTCCCTGTGTCCCTGATGGCTGGGATCCTCCTGTCCCTGTGTCTCTGATGGCTGAGATCCTCTATCCTCTTGTCAGCAGCTATAGACAGAGCTTGGCTGTGAGAGGCACAGGGTGAGAGGGGGCCGACTTTATTATTTGTTCCCAGAGAGTGGTAACCCAGGCCCTGTGCACTTTTTGGGGTGTGGCTGGATCAAAGGAGACTAGGTCATAACTTGAGCTATGTGTCAGCCTGGTACCCTCTACCCCCTACACATCTGATGCAGAAGGCTTGATACCTAAATTCTTTGCCTGGGTGTGAGCACCATGTGAAGTGAGTGATGGCCACATCCTGACACATGGGTTCCTGACAGAATTACAGACTGGGGTGTGCTGTTATTTAGCACACCATAAGGGCCCAACCCGACTGGCTATGAGAGGCACACAGATAGCCTGCTGCTAGAACAAGAAACCTACATGTTGCTACCAGATTCCTTCTCTCTGAGGCAGACAGGGTCTCAGAGTAGTTGCCAGGAAAGATTATGGCTGTGCTAGTGAAGGGGTCAGAGCCTGTGGAAAGATGGGGTATCTCCCTGAGCTCCTGAAAGAGTTGCAAAAGGGATGGGTACTCCGGGGGAGGGGGAGAGAAGGGGGCTCACCTTCCGCAGCAGGGCTACCATCTCCTTGGACCAGGTGGGCACGTACTGGACACTCACAGTGCTGAACAGCTGAACGAGCGACTCCACAGCATTGCTCGAGTGGATATCGTAGGGCCTCTGTGGGCAGGGATGCACTACACCAGGAGCCCTCCCCAACACTGCACCCAGACATGAGTTCAAACACCCTAGGAGACCAACTTCAGTCCCAGGTGCAGGCTGAGCTCTGAGAACAGCAGCCACCTGGTACATAGCCCAGGGGATAGAGCTTGCACCCAAGACTGAACTGGGTACCACAGGCCAGAAGCTCATCTGTCAAGGGTATGCACTCCCTACCACCGCCAAGACCTGAGGCCTGGGTGGGTCAATCCAAAAGGACAGGAAGTTCTGTCTTTATCAGGACTGGGGCTTCATAGCATGGTGGAGGGTACCCCAAGAGAGAATACAGAGGGTAGTATGAGGCCTAAGCAGATCACTGCCTCTGCCTCTAGAGAAAAGAACCAAGTCCCTCCCAAGAACTTGCTGGACACACATCCTATCCACCACCAGCCATCCAAGGAGACTTGCTAACTCAAGCATCTCCCATGATTTGCTTAAAAGCCTGAGTCCTCTGAGGTTGCGCAGGGGTGTGTATCATCCTGCATCCGTGGCTCTCAGCCAGTCCGGGGCAAGGAAGTAGCTAGCTTAGGGTGACAAGGCTCCGTACCCATCCTCGTAGCAGCTCGTAAGCCATCACCCCCACCGACCACCAGTCCACCTCGAAGGAGTAGCCGGTCCCGCCATTGACGAAAGAGTGGAAGATCTCTGGAGCTTTCCAACAAAGAGAAGAAAGAGCTGAGCCATGGGGCTAGAGGGCCTGATAACTGGGCAAACCCACAGCCAGGTCTGCACCAGATCTAAAAGAGACCCTACCCACCGTGATTCAGCACTGTCCCACCTGCAGGCAGCGGCCCCCGTGGACTAGCCCACAGCAGATAAAACACTGCATAGCCATTTGGCTCCACCCCAGGTCCTCTGCTCTAAAGAGTCTGCAGGGAGAGGGGGAGCTGTCTCACTTCTCCATCCTGTGACTCTCATGGACACCCTCAGATTTTTCTGCACGTATTAGATAGATCATTAAAAAAAAAATGCGGTCAATCCTGCTGTGACTTTATCTGACCGTGGAGTAAGGACTAGGGAGGAGCATGTCTCTGCATGGTCAGGTGTCATCTGAGGCCTTCGGCTTACCCATGTACGGTTTGGTCCCAGCTAAAGCTGTCGCTCTCTCCCCATCTTTTATGATGGTGGCAATGTTGAAGTCGGTCAGGTGTGCGTGTCCTGTGAAGAGAGGGCAGACTTGGCTGTCCAGGTCCTGGGTGGGGTACCCATGCTCCTCTCTATGTCCCAGAGCTCCAGGGACTCACCTTGTTCATCCAGGAGAATGTTATCAGGTTTGACATCTCTAGGAGAACAGAAAGTAAGAAGAAAATGAGCTTGAACCTGTCATTCATGCCCTGACATCTCTGACAGCTGCTTCATCAGAGACAGAGGCCTGGAAGGCTTGGTTTGGTATTTAGAATGGGTCCTAACATAGGACCTAGTGTCATGGAGGACATACTGCACACAATTCAGAGGGCACCAGGGCCACCCAGAAGGTGGATATCCCCTTAAGTGGTGTGACCCAAGGGTATTATTACCAACCATTCAGCCCAGGCAGATGCCTCATCCTACGGGTATTCACACACCTGTGGATGATGTGCTGGCTGCGCAGGTAGTCCAGGGCCAGGGCCATCTCACAGATGTACAGCCTCACCGTGTCCTCTGAGAACTGGACATTCTGCTGTAGGTGGTAGCGCAGGTCCCCGCCCAGAAGCAGATCCACGACCATGAACATGTCCTCCTCATCTTGGAATGAATACCTGTGGGTATCAGGGGGGACTTGGCATGTGAATGGCGCAGGGAACCTGAGCAATAGCTCCTGCCACACTTGGTCCTCCTCTTTCCAGTCTGGTCACCATCCTGCCTGAGGCACTGCCTACACCCTGCTCGGAGCTGCACCAAGACCCCAGGGAAAACAGAACAGCCATGTCCGAGAGGGTGGCTGGCTGCAGAGCAGAGATGCGCATAAGTGACAACTGGAGAGCAGAAACAGTGCACATTCCAGAGCTGTTCCAGAATTCCCTGGTTTCTTCTATGAGGAGGAACAAAATTGGTTTGTAAGAAGAACATGAAACAGTGCCAGTGAAATGCTTAGTACAGATATGGGTGAGGAATCGGTGTTTAACGACCAAATACCATGATGATGACGGTGGCGGTGCTGGTTATAATAATGGTGGTGGTGATGTTGACAGCAATGGTCAGGATGGTGCTGGTGATACTGATGGTGGTACCAGTGATAGTGGGGGTGATAGTGATGGTGGTGATAGTGATGATGATGGTGGTGATGGTGGTGATGGTGGTGGTGGTGATAGTGATGATGATGGTGGTGATGGTGGTGATGGTGGTGTTCCTGTTCCCTGCCCTCCATTAGCCACTCTCTCAACATCAGTGGAAGAAGCCTAGAGAAGGTGGCACAGGCAGGATTCTGAGGAAGGGGTCAGGGAGAGAGTCTGAAGTCCTGGCTTGTGGCCCATGTCACAGCAGCACCTGCACAGTTGTGGACAGCAGCAGTGAGGGCCTGTTTCACAAGTCAGAAGACCAATAACAGAGAGGGTGTGTGTGTGTGTGTGTGTGTGTGTGTGTGTTTTCTACAGCATGGGAGGAGACTCCACCCAGAATTCATGCACCTAACCATTAGGCAACACTATCTTTTAGAAAACCTGGGTGGCTGGGTTGCTGAGGCCCCAAATACAAAAATCCTGGCCTTCCTTTTTTTCCAAGAAGCCTCAGTGCCGACACTGTGTTCCCACCTCACAGCAAACTTCCCTCCTTCCCCCTGACATGGGCAGGTTTGAGGGGTATGTCTCACTTAGACCTTCCCCCCACTTTAGGATGTTGTCCAGTGTGCTAAAACAAGATGGAATGTGAACCACAAAACTGCTCTCTGGGTCTGTCACTCCTCAGCCTGCCTGGAAATAGCCAGCCACAAGCATGCTGGAGCTTCTATGTAGGAAGGAAGCCATTCTAGAATCATGCTTGTAGCCTTTGGGAAGTGGCCACTGCCTACTTTGTAGTTTCATGACTTACTGTAGGAAAAAACAAACAAACAAAACAAAACAGCAGGTTGCAGTTGGGGCAGTTTGGGGTAGGGTCCCGTGTACTATGTTATGTTTAGGTATGGCTGCCATAGACCCATATGTTTAAACAAGCCTATGGGGGCCAGGGAGTGGAATGTGATGGTTTGTATATGTTCAGCCCAGGGAGAGGCACTACTAGAGGGTATGGCCCTGTTGGAGTATGTGTGGCCTTGTTGGAGTAGGTGTGTCATTGTGGGTGTGGGCTTTAAAACCCTCATCCTAGCTGCCTGGAAGTCAGTATTCTGCTAGCAGCCTCCAGATGAATATGTAGAACTCTCAGCTCCTCCTGAACCAGGCCTGCTGGATGCTGCCATGCTCCTGCCTTGATGACATTGGACTGAACCTCTGAACCTGTAAGCCAGACCCAATTAACTGTTTGCCTTATAAGAGTTGTTTTAGTCATGGTGTCTGCTCACAGCAGTAATACCCTTACTATGACAGAAGTAGCCAAGAAAACCCCCTGAGCCAGGGAATATCCATGCACTGAGAACTCCTGTGCTGGTAGGACCCATACCAGGGTTAGGGAGAAGTCCTGCAATGGAGAGGAGAGGAAGGAATCAACCTCCCAGCAGCCCATGGTTCTTAGGCCTCTGGCAGGAACCTGAAGGTCCACCCGACACTTGGTAGTATAGCTAAACACTGGGCTCCCAGCAGACCCTGGGGAGAGTCAATTCGAATCCAGCATACCATGGACCCCTAGGCCCACCAGGTCCTGGACACAGAAGCTGAATAGACCGAGAGGGGGATAGGGAGGACTAGCACATGGGGAGCATCCCAGAGGTATTAGAGCCAAAGAACAGCTAGGCCCCTTGTCCCACTCCAGAGGGTAAATCCCACTGCAAGGGTCATTCATTCCTGGCAGGCCCTCGGGCGGACTCACCAGAGGTTCACAAGGAAGACATGTTCAATCTCCTGCAGGATCTCCAGCTCCCGGAAGACATTCCGGACTTCATCACGCTCGATACATTGCTGCTTGTTCATGTACTTCATGGCATACATCTTCTCTGTGTCCCGCTTCTGCACGATGCACACCTGGAGGGCCAAGGACCGGTCAGCAGAATGCCAGAAATTGAACTCTTCAGCTCCCTCCACCCTTACAGAGCCAGAGCTCCTAGCCAGCAATGGGATGAGGCTGTGAACGCATGCCTTCTATAGACCGGCAGAGCCCAGTCACAGCGTACCCAGACAAGACTCCTAGCTTCATGATGGGCTGGCTTGTGGTGCTGAGGCCCTTACCAGCCATGGCCTGCGCAAGCTGTCTCAACTTACCAAGCATCAACATTCCTTTCTCAGGGCCTGGATCAGCATATGGCTGTGAAGTACGTTGGTAACTGCTGTGTGGTTTGAGTGTGAAATGCTCCCTCCACGGGTTCATGTGTTTAAGCACTCAGCCTCAGCTAGTGGCTCTGTTTTGGAAGCTTGCAGAAAGAAGCTTTAGCGGACAGAGCCTTGCTGGAGGAAGTAGCTCACTGTGCTGGGGGTTGGGAGTATGGTTTAGCCCTACTTCCTGTCCACTGCTTCCTGGAAATGCCCTTACAGACCCATCCAGGGGTGTGTCTCTTAGTTGATTTCAGACCCTATCAAGTTAACATGTTTCAAGATAAATATCATAGGAATGAAGGCGAGAACCCTCTAGCACAAAGCTATTCATCCAGGAAGCCTCTATCCACCACGGGATCATCGTTTCCACAAGCAAGGGCTATCCATGATAGCAGGTCCCTGGACAATCCTGAAGGCACAGAACTTTTTGAGCAGTGTACTATCATGGCCAATGCCCAACACTGGTATCGCTTAGCAGAGAGGAATGATGGGAGGGATGAGTGAGGAGAAAAGCAGCAGATATCCCTTGTGGCCACGAAGTGTCAATCAAAACCACAAAACCAAGAACAAAAGATTCCCCAAAGGAAACAGGAAGTCAAGACGTAAAAAGCTGGTGTAGAGCCAGCTCCTGTGCCCACTGCCAAGTCATCTGAGGTCAGGTGACTCATTAAGCCATTGCTGAGGGTTTCTACAGACTGTGGTCTCCAGGTCTTCATTTAACACTGGTCATTGTTCTGAAGGATTCTGGTCCTTGATGTGGGTGAGACTCCCAGGTATCACCAGAGAGCCTGGAACTGGGCATACAACTCAGTGGCACTGGCCTCTGACCAGATCTCTGGATCCATCCTGACAGAATCCACATTCCTTTTCCTGGGAATGCACACACGGTAAAAGGTCTCTAGTACTCCATAAAGCAAGCTGACTTCTAACCATGTGCCCTGCAGTCTCCTGGCACAGTCTTGTAAGCTTAATGACTACCACACAACCATTGAAACGTCATTGAAAGGACTTTTAATGGTGTGTAACAAGTTGGGAACACCAAGCAAGAACACTAGGCTATGCAATATAAACAACAGAGTGATACACTCAGTCTGCACAGAAGGCAGAAGTGAGCCATGGGATGAAGGCAGCTGGGATGGAGAAGCTGCACAGACTCTTCTTGGCTATGGTTTCTGTCACACTACTGTGTAGTTCTGGTGACAGCTGGTGGTGCTTCTGTGGACCCTGCTCTACAGCAGTGACGTTAAGGCTGTCTGGCACGCTGGTCTTCAGGGTCTGTGGACGAAGTGACTAAACAGATCCTTGATTCTGAGGCCTCCTACAGATCCCCCCATCATCCAGAGACACAACCTCTGTATCTACAGCTGCAGTTTCCAAGGCAACACTGCACACGTATTGCTCACAGACGTTGTAAGCCCAAGGGAGCTGAGCCTGAGACATGATGCCAACCGAGTATGGAGGGGACATCCGAGTGCCTCTAGGAGTCCATATACCTCAGCATAAGGCCACCAGTGGCACAAAAAGATCCAGGTCCCTATGCAGGCCACAAAGATCCTTGTAAGACTCCCCTGGAAACTTCTGCTGGATCTGATGCCCCAGGAAGATGCACTCCTGCCTCCAAGGGCCACACCCCTGTGCCCAGTCTCAGCACTGTAGTGCCCTTTGAGGAGAAGACCTGTAGGAGCAGGTGTGGGGTTGCAGGGCCCATATGGAACATTCAGAGAACAGGGTCTTGTGTCTGAGGTTGGATTGGGGCAAAGAACCTTTTCTCATCTTTCTTTTCATAAGAGAGAGGGGGGGGCAAGTGGGGCTGTTGCTCAGTCAATAGAGCAATTGTCTAACATGCACAAAGTCCTGGTCCAGTCCCTAGCACTGCATTAACACTGGATGTGGTAGTACATTCTTGTTGTGCCAGCACTGAGATGATGAAGAGCAGAGCTTAAGGTCATCCTTGGCTACATAGTAAGTTCAAGGCTAGCCTAGGCTGCACAAGACTAATACAGAAGGAAAAGACAGGAAGGGAAAAAGGGAAAAGACAGACAGAGGGGGTAAGGAAGAAGAAGGAAGGAGAGAGGAAAGGAGGGAAGGAGAGAGGGTGGGAGAAAGAATAAGAGAGGGAGGGAGGGAGGGAAGGAGGGAGAGAGAGAGAGAGAGAGAGAGAGAGAGAGAGAGAGAGAGAGAGAAGAGAGAAAGGATGTGCAAGCTCAAAGGTTTTTTTCTAAGAAGTCATAGGACTCCCTAGCAGTCCAGGATATAAGAATACAAACCCATAGTCTCCTATGAGGGCCTCAGACAGCCACGTTTAACCTGCCTTTCTGTGTCCCTGTAGGTGTTCCTTGAACTGTCAAACTAAGTCAGTCACCCAGAAATCAAGCTGACAAAAAAGAAGGCGAAAATCGAGGCTAGCAGGCAATGATGCAAATGTGTGTGAATAAGCACAGACACACTCAAGCCAAATAGTCTGCTTCTGCACACTATGCAGACGCTCTCAGGACTTCTGAGCCTGCTGAGGACTGCTGGTTCCTCTACCCTCTTCTCTGCAGAGAAGGATCTCGCCGCCCTCTCACTAAAAGGTACAAATGCCCTGGAGGGAGCTGGTCATGGGCAACAGGTACAACTGACTCAAAGGCTCCTGGCCAGGGTTCAGAAAAAAAGGAAAACCTCTGAATGTCTCAACAACCCTTCATTAGCATCTGGCCACTTCTCAGAGTCCACCCGTCCCAAAACCAGCACTGGCATGAGCCCAGCCAAACTGCCTGGCTCTCAGACTAGTTGGTTTTCTTGGGCATTCTGAACCTGGATGGACCTTGACACCAATCCCACTCCATGATTCTAACTGTACAGCTGCAGAGAAGGACCAACAGATATTCCCAGAATGAGTTTATAGGCTGGAATAGCGGCCTCTGGGCAGCTCAGCTCAATCTAGGACTGAGAGGATCAGACAAGTCAGCCAGTGTTAGCTATTGTACAACATCCATCCATTCAATAGCCCCACCCACGGTTCTCCCTCAAGCCAATCACGGAATTGTGACTGAGCACAATGACAGGAAGGTTAGTGAGGGAGTTAAAACTATGCAATACTGGCACACTGACTATTTCAAATTAAAGGTACTTGTAAGATGAATTAGCATAAGCCAATAGCTGACCATCTTGTCTCCTAAGAGCAAGAGCTGAAATTCCTTCCCTAAACTGAAAGGGAAGCAATGTCTTTACTCAGAACCCAAGACCAGAATGAGAGAACTGTGTAGGCTGCACTTGTATGTTCCTGTTTAATCCCCCTACCTGATCTACTTGCTTCTTTACAGGTCAGTAGCTATGTGATGCTGGTAGCTTTTGGTCAGACCACCTAGATACCTAGCTGTCTTGCATATTGTCCAAGTAGTAGCCCTCCTTGAGCTCAGCTCTCTCCAGAGCCTCTGTGCTATCATGGGGTCCCTCCCCTTGACACATGGGTCAGTAGCACCCTCTATCTCCTGGGCAGCAGGAAACCCCATTTTGGGGACAGCATCTGTAGAGGAGCTTATGACATCTCTGGTTTAAGATGTCTTTAAAAGAAAATTGTGACTCAGACCTTCCAGGCACCAACAACCACCAAGGAAGCCCAGGAACCTCGCCCTCCTGTCTTCTGGTTCTCTGCTGGTGACAGCAGTCCCTGCAGGAGGCATGGCCTTCAGGCACAGATGCAAGGGCTGGGCACTCATTTGTCACCTCGATCCTCTGCAGTGTGGGAAGAGATACTTTGCAGGGTTTTCTGCTTAGACTGCTAAGCCAGGCTAGACCCCTCATCCTGCAGCCAGCCTTAGACATGGCCCTCTGGCCCAGGTCTCCCGGCCCCAGCTTTCTGGGCATGAGATTAGCTGCAGATCAATGCCCTACTTGGAGAAAAAAAAAAGGAAGGAGCATTGTGTTTCATCTCGAAGCTGGAGGTGTCCCTCCCTGACTCAGGTGTCCTCACAGCTGCCCCCAAAGCTTCTGCACAAAAACATTTTTAGGTGTTATATGCACCCTGCCACTTTTTTGTGCACCTGGAATCCATCCTGAGCCATTCTTGTGGAAAGCTTGGGGGGGGGTGTATTCTGAGATCCCAGAGGAACCTGTGAAGATGTCATGTAGCTCCTGGAGGCACCTGCTTGGGTCTGAGGTGTTCCTGGAGTCCCCTCTCTGAGACTCATGCTTCTCTCCCTTTCTCCAGTTTTCCAGGGTTATGGGGTAGGGTGCATACAGGAGACAGGGCAGCTGCAGTCCATTTAGCATAGGCTGCCAGAAAGCCATTCTGGTGGCCTGTAAGGGACAGCTTATGTAGACTGGGGCTGGAGGGCAGAGAGTATTGGAGAACATGACCCAGTCACTCACCACAGGTCCTAAGTGGTCTGTTCCAGTGAGTGGATGACACAGATCACTTTGCCCTATTACACAAATGTAATAGGAAGAGCTGGGGCAGGGGGGCTGCTGTTACATCAAGGATGTGAACAGAGGACTCCTTAGGTAGGAAGAGGCCACATATACTCCAAGACTAAACCAGCAGGAGGTTGGCAGACCAGAGCGGAGGACTGATGGGGGGGGGGAGGCACCAACAGCCAAGTGTTGAGCCACAGATCTTTTTCCCCTGCGATAGCTATAATCCTTCTTCAAATTATTATTTTGAAAGCCTATTGAAAATTTCAGAATGAAAATACGTGTCAGCCCCAGCAGGCCACCCAACTTTCCTGGTC